ATACGTAAAAAAACCGCGCTTTTGTTTCGAAGGCTCTGTGAGTGTCCGTGACGCCGTTCTGGTCAAAACGGCCCCGTCTCCAGGTCACCTGAATCAACGGGGCCAACTTTGTTCCTCTGGTAAGAATCCATGTCGAGTCCTAAGTAGTTCAGTTCCTGGTTATCAGCTCACCGATTTCCCTCCCACAAAATAGCTTTCAGCCCAACTACTTCTCTACTAGCTCACTAACTCTTTGCATTGAAAATTTTCCCCTTAAAGCAGAACTGGAAACCCGTCTGCCCCCCACGAAAGGATACCCCGCTTCCTATCATCGGCCATACTGTTCCTCTTCATCCTTAGTCATAAATACATTAAGGCCAACATAACAAAAAAAATCTCATAAGCACTGAAGGTCTCGGCAAATACAAAACCGCAGCACAACCCGCTCCGTGGGAACCTGCTGCCACAGTGACCTACAAACTGGGCTGATTGGTTTGCAAGTTTCTACACGTATCAAAACTGAGATCGCTCCTTCCCTCCTTTGTTTCAGTTTAATCTCTCCTCTGCGCATGTGTATGAAGTTCTTTTTCCCCCCTTTTCCTTCGCTCTCTGGCAGCCGGCTCTGTCAGTTGTTGCCCTGTGATTGCTGCAAGGCTTTGTGCATGGCAGCGGAGGCAGAGGAGGGTTTGATCCAGGGGACAGTTAGCAGGGAGGAGGTGGTGGTGGTCGTCATGGTAACCTGAATCATCTGCTCGTTTTGTATCAGTCTAATGAGGGTTTTGAGACGTTCCAGTGATGACTGAGTCCCTTTCTGCTGGGCCAACAGGCTGGTTTTTAGCTCTAAGCATTTCTGTCAAATAAAGAGAAGGGGAGGGGGGAGAGAAGGAAAGACTGAGAATACATTCAAATTGGTGTCAAACATTTCTCCAAACATCCTTTTGTGTCTTGAGCGCACGTCCTGCTCAAATGAAGTACATTCTCCTTTGGGGATAGCACAACCACAGCTTAACGAATCGAGTAATCACCAGCACTACATAGGCGGCGGCAGCTGCCTAAGGTAACAATATTCACCCCAGTCCAAATGCATGCAGAGGACGTTTCCAACCTCATCCTGTAGACAGCCTGGCAGAAATGCCTCCTGCACCCCAAAGGGATTGTTGGCATGGGATTGGAATAGCCATATAACTGGAAAGTACCGAAGCCACCAGAGAGGTCTCTAAATCTTACCAAAAGGCATTGATAAATGCTTGAGGGATAAACCTCACCATGACGCATTTTGTACGTGCCACAAATTTTAGGGAGTCAGTACAGTGAAAATAAGGTGGTCTCTCTGAACATGATGTCAATATCTTTCTGGCAGAAAACTTGATCTATGATGCTACTGTTATACCACTGCAGTCACAAGGAAGTCTTTTTCCGACGGGGTGGCCAAACTGCACCCGACAATCACTTGAAATGTTTCATACAAACCTATGTGAAAATTAACATGACAGCAGGAACCAAACGAAGGCATCCCAAATCTCCTTCTTGGAATCATAGAATCACAGAATCGTTTAGGTTGGAAAAGACCTTTAAGATCATCGAGTCCAACCATTAACCTAACGCTGCCAAGTCCACCACTAAACCATGTCCCTAAGTGCCACATCTACACGGCTTTTCAATACCTCCTCTTCTCCAAGAAGACATAAGGAGGAATTGGTAATTCTCCTTTCCCTCCCCAACCCCATGCTGCTGCAGCTAACATCCCATCCTTTACACTGTCTTCTGGCCTGAGAGGGACTACACAACAGACCAAAACCCTGAGCCTGTCTGCTAGATGGAATGGGAGGGTGGCCTCTCTAATATCTGACACCTCCTGTTTTCTTTCTCCCAGTGGGCCCAGGGGTCTGGCAAAACTGGTTACTTGGCTGCAGATTGCTCCTCTTTGGCTATGGTCTACACTACCCGGGGTAGGGGGGTAGTGTCCAGTCCTGGGGAAGGGGGCAATGTGTGGAGCTGGTCAGAGGTTGGTTTAGACAGGTGAAATCTCAGGTGAAGGATAAATCACATTCTGTTTTTCCAAATAAAACCATTCCACCTGTGGTGTGTATGAGTTTTCTCTTTAATGTAAATCTCTGTTAAGGCAAATGTCAGAAATGAAACTGATCTGTGCTAGAACACCTTTAATTGTTTTTCTCCTTTCAAGTGGATACATCTCCAATAAATATAGTCATCAGCTGATATTACCATTTAAATAAAACAGTGTTGCCCACTGAAAGAACACGATTCTGCTTAGGCAGAAATCTTACTGATTTCGACAGCCCTGACATATACCTGATAGCTGACTGTATCCCCAAATGCTTTTCTTTTTCCAAACACCTCGTCCCACTGCACTCTCCTACCTACTGAAGATATTCTGTACCCCAGAGTCACTTCTTCATACACATGTGTTTTTCCATTAGTGCTGATGGCGGCTGTACACACTTAAAGGGAATATTCCCCACTGTGATGTCTTTTAATAAGTTATTGCTTTTCCTTCCACTCTACTTTAAATGTGATAAATATTTTAATACACCTCCTCTGGATAACTGTAGTGGTAAAACAACTAGTGACCAGTTACTCCTGCAGCTGCCACTTTGATTTTTCCAGGGTAAGGGAATTTCAAATATTTATTGAGACTGCCACGCCAGCTACCTCTTACGAGTGGGCCTGAGGTGAGGTAGCCCCAGATAAGTCCCTTCAGCCATGAAGGATAGGAATTATGGCTTTGAACTCAACCCACTTATATACTGGCAGAGACTGGTCCTCATAGCACAGTCTATGTGGGTGACATCTCCAGCCAGCATTTAGCTTTGAAATGAGTTCACAAAGAAAAGGATTGTGAATCCCTTTCCAGTCATGAGGAGGTTACAACATTCAGCCTCTAAGGCAAAGAAAGATGGTTATTTCTACCTAATCTCAAGAGTTTGGAGCTAATGGACAAGCAGCTACCACTGGAGGACACGCTCGTGACTGAACTTTTCACCTGGAGAATGGAAGTGCCTTAAAGTCACTGGACAGATAAGAGCTGTGTATGGCACAATAAGGCAGGCAGGCAGGCACAGCTGGGTTGGAGGGGGTTTTGCGTGCAACAGGAATTCAGTCACTGGTGATTTCTCCTCCTCAGCCTGCCAAAGCAGCTTGCTTTTCTGCATAAGAAAATCCACGTGTTTTTACTCGGAGAGATACATTCTCACACTTGAACTTCTGTAGCTTGGGAGCATAAAACATTTTCTAGCCACAAAATACCAGGTTTTCAAGCATAAATTCTTTATAAGCATCTCTGCAGGAGACTCTGTGTCCCCAGTCAGGTGTCCTACCTTCACTGCATTGTTCAGAAGTCGATCTTTTTCTTCTAACTGCCTATGCTCACTCTTCAGCTCACTGCTTCTCTTTAATAACTTTCGCTTCTCTTCTTCTTTGACTGTGGAGGAATAAGATTAAGGATGCAGAAGTTAAGAAAAGGACATATGGCAAAACCGTGCCCTTGACAACAGAAGGCAGAAGCATGTACTTTGGAAGCTGAGTTTCAGGTCTCATTTGCCTTTTGTCAGCAGGTACAAGCAAATAAATCTGGAGTTTCTGCTTGCATGCATGCATCTATGTCAATGGCTAGAACCCAGGACAACCCAAAAGCTATAGTGAACCTTTGGGATGAATTAAAATTAATCCTTAGACCACATGTGGTCCTGGAGGTCTCCAAAAAAGAGGCGGATGGTATTTAAGAACAGGCCAGCCACCTGCAATGGCAATAGTTGAAAAGCACAATTGTAACAGTACCAGACCTCTGCAAAGCTCCTTACAAATATGATCTAATGCCCCAAACTGCCCATTGCAAAAGTGCAACAGGGAACTAAAAAAGAGCAATGGTCAATTGCTCAAAAAGAGCACAGGTATCATACCACATCTGATACTGAGTTGATATTACTGTAGTATCTGAGACACTAGTCTGGCATCATGCTACATACCCAACTGCATGGCTCTGCCTAACCTGACTGTGTCTCTCTGCCTCCCAGCCTGATATGACTCTGCCTCAGAATCCCATTTTCAGTCCTCCTCTCAGGAAGGCACCACTTTGATGACAGCCTCCACCACAGAGGGAAGTTCCTGAGAGATCAATCTCAGCTTCCTTAATGAGAGAAGATAGCGACGGAGCAGACCGTGGGGAAGGGGAGAGAAAGTGACCTGCTGTTCCCAGCCACAGGCCCCCATGGCCCTTTGCTTAATGTCATAGAATCATAGAATTGTTAAGGTTGGAAAAGACCTCCAAGATCACCAAGTCCAACTGTTATCTTAGCAATTTAGGTTAAGTCCATCACTAAACCATGTCCCCAAGCACCACATCTACACGTCTTTTAAATACCTCCAAGGATGGGGACTACACCACCTCCCTGGGCAGCCCGTTCCAATGCTTGATAACCCTTTCGGTGAAAAAATTTTTCCTAGTGTCCACTCTAAACCTCCCTTGGCGCAACTTGAGGCCATTTCCCCTCGTCCTATTGCTTGTTACTTGGGAGAAGAGACCAACACCCACCTCGCTACAACCTCCTGTCAGGCAGTTGTAGAAGGCAGTAAGGTCTCCCCTCAGCCTCCTCTTCTCCAGACTGAACAACCCCAGTTCCCTCAGCCGCTCCTCATCAGACTTGTGCTCCAGACAACTCAACAGCTTTGTTGCTCTCCTCTGGACATGCTCCAGCAATGCAACATCCGTCTTGTAGTGATGGGCCCAAAACTGAACACAGTATTCAAGGTTCAGCCTCACCAGTGCTGAGTACAAAGGGACAATCACTAGTCCTACTGGCCACACGATTCCCGACACAAGCCAGGATGCTGTTGGCCTTCTTTGCCACCTTGATACAATGCTGGCTCATATTCAGCATCTTTGTCTTAACATAGATCTTTGTCTTAACATGGTCATTCTTACATGCCTGCAGAAATGCAGTGTATTTTCATACTGAGGAAAAGAAGAATAATTTTTATAGGAAACAAAACTGTGACCTTTCAGGTGTGATTTGATGCCTAAGGAGCATTTATAATACATAAAGTTGAACAAGACTGGCCCCAGAACTGAGCCCTGGGGAACAGCACTTGTGACCGGCCACCAACTGGATTTAACTCTGTTCACCACAACTCTTTGGGCTTGGCTGTCCAGCCAGTTTTTTACCCAGCAAAGAGGGTAAAATCTAAGCCATGAGCCGACAGCTTCTTTAGGAGAATGCTGTGGGAGACAGTGTCGAAGTCTTTACTGGAGTCCAGGTGGAAAACATCCACAGCCTTTGCCTCATCCACTAGGCGGGTCACCTTGTCATAGAATGAGATCAGGTTGGTCAGGTAGGACCTGCCTTTCATAAAGCCGTGCTGGCTGGGCCTGATCCCCTGATTGTCCTGCACATGCTTGGTGAGCGCACTCAAGATTAACTGCTCCATAATCTTCCCCAGCACTGAGGTCAGGCTGACAGGCCTGTAGTTCCCCGTATCCTCCTTCTGGCCTTTCTTGTAGATGGGCATCACATTAGCAAGCCTCCAGTCAGCTGGGACCTTCCCTGTTAACCAGGACTGCTGATAAATGATGGAGAGTGGCTTGGCAAGCTCCTCTGCCAGCTCCCTTAGTACTCTTGGGTGGATCCCATCTGGCCCCATAGACTTGTGAGCGTCCAAGTGGTGCAGCAGGTCATTACTGCTTCCTCCTGGATTATGGGGGGTTTATTCTGCTGTCCATCCCTGTCTTCCAGCTCAGGGGACTGGGTACCCTGGGCATAACTGGTCAGACTATTAAAGACTGAGGCAAAGAAGGCATTAAGTACCTCAGCGTTTTCCTCATCCTTGGTGGCAGTGTTACCCCCCACATCCAATGGAGATTCTCCTTGGCTCTCTTTTTGTTGTTAATGTATAAGTAAAAATAATTTTTGTTATCTCTTACAATAGTGGCCAGATTGAGTTCTAGCTGGGCTTTTGCCTTTCTAATTTTCTCTCTGCATGACCTAACGAGATCCCTGTACTCTTCTTGAGTTGTCTGCCCCTTCTTCCAAAAGTCATGAACTCTCCTCTTTTTCCTGAGTCCCAGCAAAAGCTCCCTGTTCAGCCAGGCCAGTTGTCTTCCTGCCGGTTCATCTTATGGCACTTGGGGACAGCCTGCTCTTGTGCCTCTAAGACTTCCTTCTTGAAGAACGCCCAGCCTCCCTGGACTCCTTTGCCCTTCAGGACTGTCTCCCAAGGGACTCTCTCAATCAGTGTCCTGAACAAGCCAGTCTGCTTTCCGGAAGTCCATGGTAGTGGTTTTGTTGACCCCCCTCCTTACTTCGCCAAGAATCAAGAACTCTGTAATTTCATGATCACTAAGCCCAAGACAGCCTCTGACCACCACATCTCCCACCAACCCTATTAGTAAACAGGAGGTCAAGCAAGGCACCTCCCCTGGTGGGCTCACTTACCAGCTGTGTCAGGAAGTTGTCTTCCACACACTCCAGGAACCTCCTAGACTGTTTCTTCTCTGCTGTGTTGTATTTCCAGCAGACATCTGCTAAGTTGAAGTGCCCCACAAGAACAAGGGCTAGCAGTTGTGAGACCTATGCCAGCCACTTGTAGAATGCTTCATCTACCTCTTCATCCCGGTTGGGTGGCCTATAACAGACTCACAGCAGGATATCTGCCTTGTTGGCCTTTCCCCTCATGCTTACCCATAAACACTCGACCTTATCATCACAGTCGTTGAGCTCTATACAAAAGAAACACTCCCTAACATACAGAGCCACCCCATCAGGTATCATGTCATGATACCTGGTAGCATTACACCACCTCTTTAATATTAGTGCCATGAAGGACTCAAATAGCATCTCCCATCACGACCAGAGAATCCCTTGTCATTAGCTGTGTTAATCCCTACCTGTTTTATGAGTAACATAGGAGTGAACAATAGCCAGAGTTCCAGTCCATGGCACATTGTCATCTTTCTTTAACACCTATAAGCCCAGGAAACAATAAAAAGTTAGGACTCCACAAAGGCAGACATTAATGTTTTTCTTCCTCCAGCCTCACAGCTCTGCAGCACCAAATCTAGGGTCCTTGTCTCAGAATTTGCGAGCTAAAAAGTAAGGAGACAATAACTTGAGTAGCACTCTCCATCGGGGCTTAATCCTTTGCACATGACTATAAACAGCACTGCCTAACAGTGCTAAAAGGGGGTTACAAATCCTCTGTTTCTTGTTGCCGTGGCTGGAAGACATTTTTCAGCCCCTGACAAGCAGACCTCCATGCTGTCAGGACTGTTGTCTTCTCAGAGTGGGAGAAGTTGCTGGTCCATATGAAAATGTGACTGCACAGATCTAATCCTGGGCTGCTCTGCTCTCTGCAACTGCATGACAGAATTCCCCCTTGACATTTTCAAAGGAATTTTCAAAGGAACGTAACAGTGATCTCAATGCCAAACACAAAGAACTCTAAGGCACAAAATCTAAGCCTCCACTCTACAATTTAGTGACACTGTACTGTTTTAGTAATTGTTTTCCTGTTCATGCAATCAGCATTATTCACCTCAACTAGACAAATTAGCATTTCTGACATGACTATGATAAATAGTTGTGTGTAATAAACATGATTTAAAGAAAGGGAATTGTTCTTCTCCCAGCTTTCAGATCCAGTGGTGAACAGTGTCTCCTTCTGCACAGTCTCCCTCATCTATAAGATTTACATTACCTGTCTGGCAACCCTACCTGCTGGTGGCTTCATTGTAAAGAAGGGAAACAAAGGAAATGAAGACACATTTTAGAAGGATAAATCTCAGCAGATGTGATTACAGGGAAGCTAAGGCACTCAGTGTTATGTTCTAATTCTAGGACGATGAAAATATCAGAAACAAATGCTGCAAAGTGTACTAAAAGCCTCTCGGTATTACTTTAGCTAATGTGGTCCCCTAAGCTGTGACCGTAGGTTAGATTAGTTTAGTGGTACACAAATTTGAGGTTTCTCCCATTTACTTCCCTTGGCATGCTATGCTCCATGTATCTTACCTTCTGTTGGCACTTTGGACAGACCCAAACCCCCTTGGGGGCAGTTTTGAGGGGCGGGTCCAAGCAGTTGAGGTGATATGCTCTGGGACACGTGCCACAGGGCTGCAAGTTAACGCCACGCTTGCAAGCAGTGCAGTGTTCATCGTGGTGGATCTCATTCTGCAAAAGAAGGATGGCTTGGGTAAAGTCAATCCATTGAGAACTTCTCTCTATACAGCATTCAAAGCCTCTGTTGCAGCAGATGGGCTCATTCAAACACAAAATCTAATTTTTAAAAGGACCCTGGCCACTGTAGAAGACAACAGAAATAATGGTGTATGATAGCAACAAACACAAACGAACAAAAGAGCCAGAAGCAAGTTCCATAAATTGAAAGAGATAGAAAAAATAAAACCCACGTAATCAAACACAGGAGGGAGTTGATTAATAAAGCCAGCTTGTGACACAGGAATTATTTCATTTGGTTTTGATACTGTGTCACTCCAAGACATGTATCACCAGGCACAGCTCTATTCCAAAGCACGGGCCAAAGTCAGTGTGTGGATCACTTGTCCTTCAAGTCCAAAGCAGAAGGAAGCAAGCAAGGACAAGTTTCTGGAGAAAAAGCACAGTTTCATGGTTTATGCCCATTGCCTCCAAGAGCAGCTAGGAAACCTGTCCACTCCAGTACAGCCTTTTGCTATGTACCCTCTTTTGTCAACTCCTCTAGAGGGCTCCTCTGCCCCTCTATTCTCCCTCGCATTAATTGTTCCCTGTTCAGCCTTGCTCTGACAACCTTTCTCCAATAAGACTGATTAGTACTTTGTCTGAAGCAATATATAAAATGAACTAAGGCTCATCAACAAAGTTACAATGTCATGTAGTAAATTGCTATGCTAATCTGGTGGCAACATTAATTACTCTTTGTATAATTAAGTGCATTTTAATAAAGGAGATACTGATTTTGAAACTCTCATGGCTTGTGAATCATTATAAAAAAACCCTAAATTTTCCTAGTGCTTTTCCAGGAAGGAGAATAATAATTTTGTACCTTTGTTAATTCCAAAAGCATATTTTCATTTTTAGGGATATTAATTATAATCTTTCATGATAGTTTTAGTCAGACTTATATCTTGAATTCCAACTCAGTCTTGTCAAAAAATCGCTCCCCAAAATATTACTCTGTAGAAATTACCTGCTCAAAAAGTCTTAATTTTAACCTCAATATAAAGACATTTAATCTATACAAACAGGAATGGTTACCCATTTTTCTTAACATTTTCATTAAAATCACAAAACTGGACTAGCAATTTCTCAATCAGTGGATTCTACAAAGGGATTAAACTCAAGCTTTACATATGAAAGCCCAAGAGTTCGTCTCTTCGAAATTCTAACTTAGAGGCTCAAAGATTTAGTTAAATGGGAAATGTTTCACACAAGCAGTATGATAGGCAAAGAGAATACTGCAATTTCGTACCTTGATAGAGACCACAATAACCAGAAGCAAGCACGGAATTACAGGGTGATGAGAAAGATGCTTGGTAGTACACAAATTTTGCTACACATACCTTCCAGAATGGATCCTCATTTGCTAGCACACGAAAGAAGGGCAGAGAACAGATTAGTGGGAAATACGTCGCTGCAGTGAATGCTAGTTCTCAGCTATGGGAGTAATTTTAGTCAAGCTGTGACACAGGAGATCAGGACATTGCCAAAATTAACGCGGGCAGGAAAGAATGCAACAGCAAGCAGTGGAATTAGCATGTGAGATTTAAAAATTTACATTGCAGGAATCCTGTGTCTGAAGATCTGACACTAAAAAGTCATAGTAAGAGAAGCACAGACTATTTCAAACTTTCAAAAATCTTCATGCAGACCTCCTCTCTGCATGTTAGTAGTCCAAAAGTCTCTCTTAAGGACTTCAGCCTGCTGGGTGATGAACAGTCTGGCCATGAACCAGCAAGGCACTTAAGCGGGTGCTTAACTCAGAGTATGAAAGTGGTGCCACTGACTTATCGTTAAACACGTGCTTAAATGTTCAGCTGATTCATGGCCAAAATGTGCGGCTTGTGCAACTGAACTTTATGTTACCATCAAGTCTTTATTATCAAATGACTCCCACCCAAACTGCCAAGATTTTCTGACCTTCTGATGAACCAAGTCTGTAGTGATTGCATTCACAGCCTGGTAAGAACAAGAACCGTCAGAGCTCACTGGAAAGCAGGCCAAGCCTTTCATGAAAATATTTGTGAAATTCATCATACTTTGGTCCAAAAATAAAAAGCCAGAGAATTTTAACAGCTTTATGGAAACTGCACAGTGGGTTCTAATTTTTGTTGCTGATGTGCAAGACATTGGTGCACACTGTCCCAGCGACGAGCAGCTGATGGAGAGGCCTTTCTTTGGAGTAAAGTGGAGACAACCAAACTTGATATTTCTGTCCTTCTGTCCTTCTTCAGCTCTCTCTCCGATCACAAATGGGAATATAGCTGCCACAGTATGATCTCTCATATACAGACCAACCTGGGAGTCGCTCCCTGCTGTTACGCATTTGTTTTAGACATGGATGTACGCATGCATGTGAAGATGCAGACACATTCACACCACACACGTATGTAAGAAGAGGCACATAAGAACGAAGGAACAGCTTCACCTAAGTTAGACCAAAGGCTATAAAGCCTGGGGTCCTTTGCTAACAGCATCCCGCGCTGCCACTCATGCACAGAGTGCAAGGACAGGGCAAGCACAGAGTAAATTCTTCTACTCCAGAAATATCCTGCCAGATGCTAGCTGTTTATGGGCTTTCCTAACCTGGAGTTCACATCTTCATTTTTATATTTAACATCCTTAGATTTTCCTTCCATCAAGTTCTGTACTTTCTCCAACAATTGTAGCATCCTTTGGCAATGAGTTCCATAAATAATCACTGACTTATAAAATCTGTAGGTGTCAGCTCCTTTACACAAATACACACACAGGGATCCACCGCGATATGACACTGCGATTACTCAGGGGATATAAATGTTACTCAGATAAACAGGGGGTTGATAATTGAAGAGTCTTTTCTACAAATGATACATGTCAGAGGATGTGACCTCATCTCAGGTAAGGCATTTTCAGATAACTGAATCTTGATTAATTGACATTTTGCCGAAAATTTACAAGAATTGTTCTCTTCTGCATTTCTGGAAATGACAGTTGTTTCCTGTACTTTGTAGGGACTTTTTTTTTTAGTTTGTTTATTTCTCTTTTCAGCTCACTTTTACTACAAAGTTTTAAACATTTTAAAACATGCCCACTTCTGCCTTCTAGTTGCTGAAAAATTAAACTGAAGAACAATTTTTTTAAACGAGCATTTCATAAAAGAAGGGGTGGTCAGCTCTGCGCTGAAGGTGGACAGACACATCATGGCCATGCCAAGCTCCCCGGCACAGCATCTGCCTTCGGTTCAGAGCTTGCACAGCATCTAGCACCATGGCGCCTGGTGCACATAGCTATTAAACCCCTACAGAGGTGGGGAGTTCTGCTGTGAAGAAGTCCAGATTAAAATTGACAGAGTATGCAGAATCTCAGCACAGATTTTGGATGCTGGAAAAAAACCAAAGATACAGGACTCAAAGAGGAATTAACAAGTAAGGAGAGAGAGTGCTGGTTTCCAAGCGGCTCTGAGACAGCCGCGCCACTGGAGCTCTGTCACCTGCCTACTTCCTTGCAAATAAAATGGGAAGCACGTGGCAGAAAGAAGGTCAGAGATATCAAACCCTAACTTAAACGAAAACCACTGAGGGGCTAACAGCACAGCTTGCTGACATTGCCATTCTCTCCCGGTTTTCCCATGTGTTTACATGGGAAAAACAAGCGCTATGATAAGACAAATAATAAATTATCATTTTAATTTTGAAGATAAAACTAAGCCAGGAATAATGTCCTTTCCACTGGGGCTCACATGAGCATGGGCTCCTCCTAAGAGGCGTGTCATCATAGCTGTTTACCGTGTAATAACCTCTCATGTCCTCCGAGACCCTCTGCATTACAGGCATATGGTAAGTAAGGCAGTTGCCTGCATCCAGCACATGAAATTTTGAAGGTAGAGAGGGGCACTGCGGCATTCAGTGGGTGATCCTGTGGTGCAGGAATTCAAGGCAGGGGCCAGAAAGGTGAATCTCTAGCACTAAACATGACACTTGGCAGGGATATCAAGCAAACATTAAAAAACTGTCAAAACTTCATGTCCGAGTTGAAATTACTCCTGTAAATGCTCCTGATACTGAAATAATATTTGGCTTAGAAAAATGTCTGTCTTCCCCTACCTCAAATGCACCACAGTAGAGCCTAAGTTATAAAGGCATCATGAGGGCAAGGACATAACCACATTTCTTTACTGGCTTTGTCTCATCTTCTGACATGCAAGTCAAGCTTTTTGCTTTCTCTCTTTAAATCCTACATGGGCCTCGCCTGAAGAACTAGACTGTACTCTGCGTTCCTGTTTCACCTCCCACCTCCCAACTCTTTGCCTTCTCTATATGTTGCATGTTTTTCCTGGAATGGTTTTCTTCACACGAGCATCATCATCATCCCCAAATGGCTCCTCTGAGTTTTTAATTCTCAAGGCTTTACCATGAAATTTTCAGCATTTGAAGTTCTTATAAATACAGGATTGAAAGGCATCTTCAAGGCCATCAAATCTAGATTTATGGCTCCAGCTCTTGGAGTCAGAAAAATTGTGTGGGTTTCAGCTGTTGTTTTTAGACTAAAAGGTATGGCAAATTTCTAGCCCTTAAGGATGGACAGCAGTTTCTTAAAGCTGATGAAAAGGGGCAAATGAAAAGCCCAGAATAGTAATTATTTTTTAAATCCCAATTTTTCAATAGATGTTTTTAAGTACTTGGGGTTGACAACACTGCCTTCTTCAATCAGTCCTCTCACTGCACGGTGCTTACAATACTAGAGATCAGATTTTCCACTGATTGCAGAGCTTTTGGATCTGTTTCTACACAGTTTTGACCTTAAGCCTTATCCTTCAATTGTTTTTGCAGGCAAACCGTCTATTTTCACTGCACACCAAAAAGTGCCGGGACCTTACACAAAGTAATGCCCTATGGTACCCTAGCAGTAATTCATATGAAATCCTACTAATAAATATTTAATATGTCATTAGAATAGTGGTATATTCATTTTAAAATATGCTTACCTCTTGTTGAAAGGAACAAGGGGTTATTCAAATAATTTGATGCAAGGCGCTTCCGCTACAAGGGAAAAGAAACAAACAACAGTGTCATTGAAGTCTTCTGGTTGTCTCTTACCATTTCATATTAACAATCTCCACGAGCTTCCCTCATACATAACCAACTATCCAGAAGCCAGTTTTGTGACTTTGAATATTCGTCGCTTATCCCCTGAGACGGTCATACAAACAGCTGTATTATTTACCTTTCTGACAAGTTCTTCATGGAGCAGCTAGATGAGCATTAGATTTTATTAACCAGAGAGAAATGCAAATTGCAAATGTTATTGACTGTGTTTCATGGTATGTTCCAGAGGTCAGTAAGAGCAAGGCAACAGCAACAGTAACCCCAAACCTAGCAGATAAACAATGTCCATAAAGGAAAATCTGCACAGTAAATTGTTGCTTTGAGATGACATCTTTATTTGCGTATGTAGAAATGGTGATGGACTTCCCACCTGCAGAAGAACATGTCACCTTCTGTGACACTTGCCTACAGTTTGTAGGAACCTATTGCATTTGCAAGCAATGTATTGGGGCCTAAGCAAAATATTTCTCTTTCAGAAGTTAATGTGTATGACTTCTAGGAGCTGGCAGCAATTTCAATCTGCTGAGGTCACCAAAGATTTTTCAAACTTGCAAACACAGACCACTGGAAACCTGACTGAGATGATAAACTAATTTAATGTAGCCCATTGCCAACTTCTCAGGTGGTAAAAGCTGTTGGTCAATAGCAAGCCGGGCTTCATTAGCAGTCTATATAAGCCCTAATTGTTTCTCTGAGCCATCCAATACTGGTAGAGCAGGACTGGAAACAGTACCATTTTCCTCCATTAGATGTTGTTAGACTCTGCTTGGAGGAAAATTAGAGGGGTTTTGCTAATAAATGATTTATTCTGTGGTGAGTAAACTGTTCTCTTATACACGGGTGCCTGCCAGTCTGTTAATGAATTTTGCATAGATGCTTCTTCTTTCAAAAAATACCTAGCCTGAAACTTAACCCTTTCCTATGAAAAAAAAAAAGAAAAGAAAAAAAAAAGCTACTTGAGTGGGAAAATAGAATGGTAACTCATCTTTTTTAAAGAAAAAAGCTTTTAAAAGAAAAAGCACCACATTCAAGTGAAGATATAAGATCGTGATCACGTTTTTGTAATCAAGGAAGTTAGCATCACTACTACAGATGCTGAGCTCCTGCCGTTTTGAGGGGCGTTGGCAAATAAAAAGTCTAATTTGTATGCAATTTCAATTTAAACAATCATGAATTAAAGATCATTCAGTAGACAAACCGTAAATTAAACTGCACCAAAATGCCTGAAATGCCACAAAATACCTCAACTCACTGATTAGCAAATCAATCTGAGCAGCTAATTGATCAGAGAAAAACCATCTGCTTCCATTTTACTTGAATGGCATTCCCCATGGTCAGTACTTAATGACAACTCCTAATGAGGACACAGCTGATCAGCCACAGGACTCCTTCACAGACATTTCTTTCTCCGTGCCATCTTTCACTTTAGGATATGCTTTTGAGAACAGATAGAATGCGAGGCATGAATTAGGGATGCAGCAGACCTCCTCCATCACCTCCTCCATCCCTGCTCCAAGATAATTGAGTTTCTCACAAACACCGATCAGGCTGCAGCCATGAAACTCTGCTGCAAGTATTTTAACAAACTCATCAAGACAAAAAGGTCTAAGAGAAGACACTACTAATTTAATGCTAGCAAGGCTAAGGTCCTGCTGTGTTAAATACTGGATGTATGGACGTTGGTATTTGCTCTGAAGAGATCACTGGAGAAAAGTTGAGGAGTTCTGAAGAATTCAAGTGCCCAGAGCAGCTCTGGGGTATAAAATCCCCAATACTTTCAAAAAAAGAACAATCGAGCCACTAAGCAGCTTGGCTACAGTGGTGGGTTTCTTCTGAGCCTCATCTGTCTGCTGCCTGCCAACCAACACAGAAATCTGAAATGTTGGCATACCAAAAATTCTGCATTGCTTGCACCTAAATAAAGAAAAATCACTTCCTTTAGGCTTAAAGAACTCAGAACATAGAGAGATCTTGCTTGAATGGAGTTTCATTCCTGTAGGAAGTTCAAATAGTAACCCCAAACTGTGGTGAAATTTTAAAGGTGGAATTTTAATAAGCTGAAAAAATGCACATATGTCAGTTCAGACAAAAAAGAACAATTTCAGAAAAAGTTAAGTCTATTTATATGCTGCTTTTACACCAGGTTTTCAATCCAATATTACAGAGGAATGAATTTTGCTGCTACTATAAATGTAACAGTGCAAGCGTAACAGACAACAGAGATTATCCAGAGCATTTTATTTTTAATTATGCATTATTATATTTATTATGCAGGCTTCCATACCCCCTGCAGAGCACACTGATTCTTAAACCAACACATCTCTTTTATGAATGTCGCTAATAAAAAAAGCAAAGTTCTCCATTTATTATTTGGCACATTGGAAAAGAGAAATAGTGATGTAAGTTTGAACATAATGCAGCACTTCTGTTCTTCAGTTCTGCCCTAAAGGAACTGTTTGCGTGGGTGAAAGAGTAATTAGGTCCCACATTAATTTAGTCCTTTTGGCCTTTATTAAAACTAAGACGAATTCTAGTTCGAAGCAAGTGATGTTGTGGGGTGAAAACCTGTTGCTTAGCTACTGAGATGAGATCTTTTCTTTCTTTTCCACATCAATATCTCTTCACAAGTAAATGTGTGGTTCTGCATTCATGTATACTTTTGTAATAAGAAGCACTTAAACCTTTTATTGACATGAAATAGAACTGTGTTAAAAAAAAGTGAATGATAAAGTACCTCTGTTTCCAAGAGTCCACTGTAGGCTGGATTTGCTGTGCTTCTTCTCTTTCTTTCCTGACGCTTGCTCTGGATTTCTGTAACCATGGAAAGAAACATGAATTGTGCATTTCTCATTCATCAGGGAAAAATGTAGATCTAACTTGTTAAGCAAGATGCTCTTACCCTCAACCCCTTGGGCTTTGTGTTCAGTTTCAGTTTCTAAAGTATAATTGGGTTGCATCAGCATTGATATTTGCAGCAGTTCAAGGTTTGACATTAATAAGCTTTTCCTTGTAAGCTTTAGAACACAGGCATTTTTTATTTTTTCCCTCCTTCAAGGCGGACTTCTGCTGCCCTACAAGATTTTTATTATGATCCCTTCAGACACATATTCAGCAAGCATCAACAGCGAGCTTTCAAAATACTACCAATGTCTGCTATTAACAAAAATGAAGCATTTAAAGCAGTTAAGCCTTGTAATTCATATCAGATGAAAGCATAGAGATCCTTTTAAATTTAATTTACATTACTTTTTCTCTGTGGAGGTTAGAAAAAGCACAGTTAGAATGGCATGGCTAAGATTCAGTTCTAACTAAGGGCGTGATGAGTTATCCATCCAAAACCATACAACTCCACCATCCTGAGCATGCAAAATGTTGTTGTGAGCTGTACACGCGTCTGTGTTGCTGGAAACAGCAGCGCAAAGATGGTCTCATTGAATTGCCGTCCTGCTCGGAAAAGGGTGAAACACAAGAGAACTCCCTTCTGCTAAATGGTAGCACCTATTCGAGACGGTACTTGCTGAGGACTGCATTTAGCAACAGTTAGCCATGCGCACACTTCTGTAGACACACACAGAAAGAGTGAGTGGCTTCCTCGACCACTGAAATCATAGGTTTAATGCTACTTTTATCTGAGCTAGGATTTAATTTCTGCCACATGGCATTTCTTTTTCCAGCTCGCAATGTCAGTTCAGAATGGTGAGATTATTACAACCATGTATTTTAGAGCCTTTTAATTTTGTTAAGTATTATATAAGTATTTATTTCGATAAGTAAGAGCAGACATACTTCAGCAAGGAGAGCCACACATTCATCCCATGATGTGAAGTGTGCACAGCTAGGCTGATGCTCTATTCCAAAATACTTCCTTCATTCATATTGTAAGGCGAAGTTTAGGCTCTGCACTGAGGTGCCAGAGGGATCTTGTTAGCCTAAATGCCCCTGCGATGGTGATAACTCCAGTCTGTCTTGCTCTAAGGAACTCCCTCAGAATGAGAGGAACTGGCAGGAGCACTAGCTTTTCAGCCCAGAGGACCAGGAGCATACCCAACAGAAACTCAGGACACCACCTGGTTCTGCAGAAGGTCTGGCATTTTCCGTCAATGTCTGAGCTAAAGAGGTCTATCTCAGAACATCCTCAGCGCCAGAAAATGGCCTTCAGGATACTGAGCACTATCTCCCACTTGCAATCCTACAGTAAGATACAGTCCAGCTTTCAGGATGTTTATGATACATGGGAGTTGGATACCCAACACACAGTTCTGGTTTCCAGGCACCCTTTCCAAATGTTGATCACTTCCCCACAGAGTAAAAGGGGCCACGTACCACTTCAAGCATTGCTCCAGTAAATGGTATTGGTATTGTCGGTCATGTCTTGGGACATGGTGTCCCTAGAGACAAGGCCAACACTTTGCATGGATTTTGTACTGGCCTGAGTTGCAAGGTATTGATTTGAAACTTTTCATTTGCAGAAGACTATTGGCTAAGCCGCCACCCTTGGAGTGATGGATGTATCAGAAGGAAACTGGGTAGACAAGAAAAACAGAAGAGCAACTACTTGCATATTCTGGCTGGGTTTTCCCACTGGCACAGGAACATGTCACCTCTCACGCTCAGAAGGTGTCTTCTCCTACGGCAATTCAAAGAGTACAGGCAGGTCTGTCTTGACAGTCTGACATGAGCTAGACATATGCTGCCATGTGACTCGGGGAGCTACACAGAATCTCACACCAAGAAACGTGTGATCCAAGGCTGCACCGAGACATGTGATGAATGCCATGACTGCAACCACTGCCAGCATTGTATTAACATCTTCAGTGCTACGCAGACTCCAAACCAGAGGATCTTGTATGGGTAACAGTTCTGTCCTACTGTGAAAGTATATCCTAAGAAACACTCATCTGGTTACGCTGAGATCTCCATCCTGAAGCTTCCAGATCTTTTGGAATCCTCTAAAGGGAATCGGGCCTCAGCAGCAGGGTAAGTGCTAGACACAGATCCAGTAGCCTGCCACAGACCCGCCAGAAGAGAGATGGCTGTTCTTGATGTCAGCATCAGTTGTAAGGGGAATGCTCTCAAGGCCAAAAGGTGACAGAAATGTCACAACAGAGGAACCCTGGTGCCTTGATGCTGGCACGGAAATGGAGGATGTGGCCCTCCACTCACTCTTTGCTTTGGTCTCAACAGCGTGAATTTGGAGACGTGGTTCTTGCAGCCAGGCTCAGTAACCCACGCTACGTGGTCAGTGAATCCAGGGCTTGCAGCATGGGCAAGAAAGCTGGAGTTAGGGCATACCAGGCTTAGTCTTCCAGAAGTGGTCACAGGGATACAAGAATGTGACTTGTCACTGGCCCAGAAAAAAAAAAACAAAACAAAAAACCAAAGAATTTGACACAGCAGGGTTTTCTGTGTCTGTAACTGGGTTGAGTATCTTCATGAGAGGACTGTGCTGGGTCTGTAGCTCTCTGCCCTTTTGGGACCCAGGTTTAAGAGAGAATTTCTTCAGTACATGCTCTCACCAAGGCAACAGAAATATTTGATGGTGTCTGACTCACACATGTGGTAGATACCTGGAATGCAGCTTTGGAAGAGGCACCGCTATGGTACAGAGATAAAAGCTGGCTGGGGGGGAGAAGTAATAATAGTGGGAATAGATTGGGGGGGGCGGGGAAGAGAGAGAGAGTAATGAACTGAAACGGCTCTCGATATACTCCGCCCTATGCAGCCACCAGGGAGGGAGAGCACAGTGTCAGCACTTTATTCATGGAAACAGTGAACAAAAAATAGCCATGCTTGTGATGTAAGGAGTAAGTACATCTAAGAGTATATCTGTCAAAAATCACACCAAGATAGAACAAAAGCATATGCTGGTATACTATCTGTTGTCACTTGTTACTTCTGCTAAAAAGTATTGTGCATGTTTCAAAACAGGGCTTAATAAAGTAAAAAGAATTTGGTTTAACTGATTAAAACATTCCAGTAACCTAGATGGAAATATTTCAGGGTTTTTGTTTTGCTACGGTAGAACAAGATGTGCATTTTTAGAATGACCTGACCTAAAGAATTCTTTTAAAGTTTTGCTTTCTATCTCCTTTTTTTCTTTTTTTTTTAAACACAATGGTAATGCTAAAAGGTGTTCTAATAGCCTAGAGAAAAAGATTTATTACAAACATGCACTGCATCATAGAGTTGGGCTATCTTATTCCTTTTTTTATTAATTTAAAAAAATATAACCCAAACTGAAAAAACCCCCCTCTAAACTGTAATACATTTGACAGAGATGAATAAATTTGAAGATAGCTTTGTGTTGGAGGCACAGCTTGAATGAGCTGCTGCCTTCATCAATAACCAGCCTGTATGGTCATTCTATGAGGACGGTAATTACAATTTATCTGCAGGGAGAGCCGTACCTTGCAGAATGTCAGCCACTGGAAGCGGCTATGTTCATTTACTGGTAAAGGCCTCAAAAGATGCCTCACACTCGGGCTCTGCAGAACAGAGCTCTTTTCCCAGTAAGGGGAAAGATGCTCCTCTGGACGCTAGGTGGAAATGCTGCTAGGCTGATAGAGAAATCCATATAGAAGTGGATCATAGCCCTTCACCACAAAATTAATGAATAAAATGAGGAAAAGCAGTAACACTGTGAATTAATGATATCGAGTGAATAAACTTTTAATGACCCAATCTTGATACAGTTTAATTCCAAAAATGTGAAATTGAGAAATACGTTAGAAGTACTCAAATAAACTGAACTGTGTAATGACCACTGCTTCCTGATAAACAGCAATGGCTGATAACCATAAATATGACATAGCACTAAAATAATAACCTTTAGCATCTGAAAGCTATAAGGGTATTTTTGACAGTTGTAATCACCAATATTCATGAAGAAATACCCTTCCCATAGTAAATAGCTCTTGGTGGGAGCCATTTATTCAAAGCTAGTAGGAATACGAGAAGTGAATTTGTCTTTAAGAATTGAGTGTGTAGGATTAGTATTGTAGCAGTTAGGTTCAAAACGTGCTTCTCCGCACTTGTTGTAGAACAAACAGTGCAGAGCGGTACTTGGCGTTTTGAACATAAGCATTAAATCCACACAAACAATTTATTAGTTCCAATAAAATCAAAGGGTGAAGAACTATTCAAAACGAAGTTCTCTCTGTTGTAAGCATAATTTGCACTTCAGCATAATTTCAAATGTTGTCCTATTTTCCTTAGACAAAGAAAACAAGAACCAGTTATCATTTGCACTTTTTGGATTATAAATCTTCTCCCAAAATTGCCGTAGCTTTTTAATTTCCATTTCAATCCATTACCATTAAGGGATTAAAAAGGCCAATGGCTTAAAGTTTCTTTAAACTGCTTTCAAATTCTCAGTCACTGGGACATTAAATGATTTTCTAAAAATGCAGATTTAAAGAGGAAAGACACTGAAAAAAGGCAAAAAGACCCACAGAAAACCTGCTGCATATACTGAGGAGACCCATTGGCCCATGGGATGGGTGGTAAAATTCAATTATCATTAATATTTTTTGTGATCGAGAATCATTGTCAGCTGACACAGATACCAGGTTTTTCTCCTTATACCGGTGGAACCACACCAACTTGTATTAGCTGAGCATGTAACTAAAACACATCAAGCCATAGACTTTTTCTTAAAAACAGCTGCATCTCAGTCCATGAGAACTAACCCATTCAGTCAAGAAACCCCCAACTCATGTCACACCACTGGCAAATTTGCTGAACAAACTCTTTTTTTCCCCTCTTATCTATGTTTTCAGAAAGACAAAGCTGAGGCAGAGAAAGGTACGGATCTGCTAACTCTTGCAAGGTGGATTTGGAAGGTTGGAAAAGCAAACTGAACACTATGCGATACTGAATTTAGTTTATGTGCAATATTTGTTTGAACTCATATTCAGAAATCTAGGAAGGCATGTTAGCAGCACTCACACAAAAGCGGGATCAGACCAGAATTTTGTTTATTTTTTGGCTAAATGGGGGGAAATGGAGGGAAGGAAGTCTTTGTGAGAGGTAGCTTTCTAATTTGCTTTAAATCTTGTAAGACGAATGCAGATTTTCACCACTATTTTAAACATTATTCTGTGGAACTTTAGAAATGACAGATGATCAACTCAAATAAATGGAAGTCCATCTCACGTGGGGGAAGAGGAGAGGGCATGCTTGCTACAGAAGATCTGGGTAAACAGCTTTGAACCTTGCTGATTCTTCAACCAGATCAGTGCTGGTCAGAGCCTTTGCAGGCTTTGTGCTTCACTATCGTCCTCCAGGTGTTAACACCCTTTAAAGGACCACGATAACTAAGCCCAAATGCTGTCTTATGCCAAGCCTGCTGGTGCTGGCTGCAGAGCCAGTTCTCATGCCCCTTGCACTGTGCAATGGGATGGGAGGCAGACCAGAGTAAGGTCACCCGTTATTTTGAGGCTGAAAAGCACAATTATGCATAGATAACATTTCACCTGATTTTTCACTGCCCTTCAGAGGAGAGAATCACTAGTTCCTCTTGCTGCAGAGCAGCCAAGAGAAAAGATTTCACTCAAAAACTGAACTGTAAACCACCATATGCCAGCTTACCTTCCAAATGTTCTGTTGTAACCAGTCCTAATGCTACCATGAAGGCAATTTTCTAAGGAAAAAATAAACAGGGGTTAGATTTTCTACTACAACAATCATGGAATAAGTAAGCAAATAAATATATCTAGCACTGACAGAATAAACCCAGTAAAGGTCTTTAGAAATGTGTCTTATTGGAACGCATAGTAATATGAAGAACTTTAATTGAAGATTTGCTTCAGATATGCCTGGTCACTTGTATGACTATAGGAACTTTAGCAGTTCAGAGACTTAGAAAGCCAATGCTGTATGATTACTGATTTTATACAGCGCATGATCCAAATTCAGTCAATTCAATCAATTCAATTTCATATTGCCAGCTGCTTTGTTACTCCATTCTTTAGAGAAGTCCTTGTGGATTATTATAACTATCTGGACGTGGCACTGCTTTTCCCGGATGTGAGCAAGCTGTGTGAAGCAAAACAAGATATGACACATTTCCACTGAACAAAACTAAACAAGACATCTGAAGCATATTGGAAGTCCCCTCCCCCCAAAAAAACTTTCAGAAATTTCTCCTCCCAAGTTACAGAAAGAATATCATGTGCATGAATTATGAAGAGGTACACTGAACCAATATTTGTCCCTCAGTGGGGAGTGAACAAACATCTTCCACTGATGCTGGCAAACCCATTTTGTAGCGAGGAATCTGACCTAAGATATTACTCAGAACTCTTGTACACGATACATGCACAAAACACACCTTTGTACTAGCAAATCTTCAAAAGATGATGATGCGGTAACAGGGCAAATACTAGAGCAGATTCTAAATTTTCTGTCAGCAATTCTTCTTTGGGAAATTTTTCCTTGCGGAAAAACTTTTGCTGAAGCTTTTATTCCATCTTTTTGATGTAAAACTGGAATTCTGCTGTGTTGTTCCAAGCCCAAATGGAACTGAACTCCTTGGTTTTGAGTCACATCTGTGCTACCACGGGGCCTCAGGGATCTCCTGTTTCTGCTGTGCTGGACAAGCTCTTTGGATCATGTTACCCAAGTAGCATTTTCATGAGGTGCAATTTCATGGGAGAGACGATGTGACTACGAAACCCAAGCTATGAGGAAATACAAGCAAGCAAAGCCCACAATCCAAGTCTGATAAAGCATCCAAAGACCATAGGAGGATGCAATTATCATACTCACCCAAAATAAAATGTCTAGATTTAGGTCAAACTAAAATAAAGTGTTTAAGCGGTAGGAGGTCAAAACATTCAGTTTCAATCAAAGAAGTGTCAGGAGAACATGTTTCAACGCTTCCAAGCCAAAATTAGTTTGACCTCCTTGTTTTGTGAAAAGCCTTTTCATTGTGAAGTTTTGTGAAAAAAACTTTGCATTTCAGTTCAGGATGAAGTCAACCAGTAAGTCACCCGAACCACCATTTATTTCCTTTGCAATTCTGAGTTTCACACGGTGAAATTGTGAAAGCAAGCACACCCTCATTTTGTAGATGAACAGGTCTAATTATGAGGTGGGTTCTTCAAAACCTGAGGGTCAGGATTGGACACCTATATCCCTCTTACATATATGAAAACGTCTCTGTCAAACAGGTGAGCACCATAAGACTGGAATATTTTCTTTCCACAATTGCCTAGTATGTAATTCTCCCCATATATTAAAAATGGCGATGTCAAATCTCTTTACTGGCAATTTAGATACATTGGTGCTATATTTCTGCCTTCCATAACTGTGGTAATGACAAACACATGTGTTCGTTTGCATGTCAGACCTTGATTGCAATAACATTCACTCCTTACAGAACTAAAACACCAGCTAGACACAGCAGGGGCTCCACACCTGAAGGGAAAGATGAATATTTGATCCGAGATCCACTGTGCAGATCTGAGAAGAAAATTAGTTAACTGAGTAGAATTACAAGCTTCGCCTCGCCCCCACCAAAAAGTAACTTTGTGGCAGGATACGTCTGGGCACCTGAGCAGAAGTAATAACAAAATTTAGGTATAGAATCAGAAAGCGGGAATGGTTAACGTGCGATTGTATTTTCCCAATGGAGCACAGAATGCCTATATTACCTGAAGATTAAACTGTAGGGGGAGCATACATTTTCTGACATCTAAACTAAAATTATTTGAGTACTGGAATGCTCGCTAAACAATTTCCTCTCTTCATATTAAAATGATTTGAATACATACCTAATTAAATGTAATAACAGCATACTTGCTTAACATACGAAGAGCCTTCATAAATGGACTTGATAATTATCTCACTATTAAACACAGGAAGGGTTAGCTTTTATAGATATTTGAAAGATGGTTTCTTTTTAAAAATTCCCAGTAGAAGCTGTATTCTTTTTAACAAGCATATTATATTAACAGCATATTTGTTTTTATGGGTTTTGCTATTTCACACTCACATAGCTCGTTGGATTCAACTCAAAATACTACTTCCACTGCAATGCCTTTCTTTCAAATACCACAGTGTATTTTGTTTCTCCTCTGTGCGGGAATCCACAAAACTGAGGCTTCGGTTTCTCCAGATTTTCAATCCAGGCCTAACAGTAGCATTTGGTTCACAATTGCAATGTGTCTCTCTTGTCCTTCTTAGGCAGGATTCAAAACACCGTTAGCTAAATAACCAGCACTTATGGCAGTAATCTTTCTTTTAAATAAAAACCTGCTACCATGTCCTAGAAAATGTTGCCAGAAATATAAAATTTTACTAATATAAAATCTTAAAAAAGCAAAAAGTTTTGGGCAGAGTTCTGTTTCTTTCTGTGCTGAACTCATGTCCTTTTAAGAGAATCACAAAAACCCAAACCCCCGGGCACTTGCTCCCCAGAGGTGCAGCTCCCTTGCATAATCCTTCATGTCCTTGCCGAAGTCATTCTGGTGGGAGAAGGCCCATCACTAGATGGGCAGTTATTTGCCTCAGTTCCGAGCAGAGGCCCCACTGATGGCCCGTTCTTCCAGACCCTCCTCAGCCCTGGGGGGACTGAACCCTCACGGCTTATATCCCAGGAGAGGGCTCTACCCACTGGACCTGGGACACCCCAGGTGGCCGAGAACCTCCATCCTGCCTCTGGGAAAGCCACTCCACAGCCAGGCGTCCCGGCATCCTGGCTGCAAGGCAGCAGGTGCAAGGAGGTTTGCTTTAGTCTAATGATGACGTACTTGGGAAAAGAGAAATCTTCGGCTTATGCAAAAGGCATACGTATTGCAGGGGGCTGTGTCCAGGATCGGCTTCATGGCTTCCCAGCAGAATGACCGAGCCAGGAACAAAAACCCAGTCATCATCCTCGGTCTTTTCTGTTCGTTCAGGTACACTCAGTAACTGCGTATGGGATCCTTGGCTACTGGTAAGTCTGGTGATTTCTGGTTTATTTGTTTTATATTTTCAATTTAATTTGTTAAATCCCAGTCTGTCACAACTAACATTTACGTTGAGCCATCCTGGAGATCCTGCCTCGGTGTTGTGCTTTGAAGATAAATAAAGGTATGGAGAGAAGTGCCTAGAGTGCTTATTTTATTTTTAAAAATATCATGATATCTTTGTTGCTCTTTGCCTTAAATTTTATCATCTGTTTAAAAGCCATGAGTGCTTTTAGAAATGCACAGTATGTCTTTTCATGAAGCAAAACAAAGATTTTTACAAAACCATTTCATTTTGTAATTACATGTTCTATTTATGTCATTACATGTATTTACACTAATTATGCTGTTAGTTCTAATTACACTAATTGCATAAATACATGATAATCAACTAAAGTTTACTTTCAAAGAACAAAAGAAATTAACTCTAGACCTACATATTTATGGCCATGAAACAAATCTATGAAAAGAAAAGGACCGTCATACTTAAGGGCATAGCTTCAGCATCCTACCCGGAAAATTGTGCCTGCTGAGACCTCCAGTATACCCAGTAGGAACAAAGTTCTTGGTTACAAAAAAGGCAGTCAGGATATTCTAGTTAGCAATCTAATGAAAAGCTCATTAAATTTATGAATGCTATACCAAAAAGTGTGCCCAGAGCCATGGCCTCTACCTGAATCTCTGTGGAAGATTTTTGCTCAATATTCTTTCTGTGGGGATAAGTTACAGGCAAAGAAAAATGGATGTTTTTTTCTAGCATTCTGTTTGTAAGCAGGGTCTACTAGCCTTTCTGCCCATAAGGTATTACACAATAAATAATCTTTCGGAAAAACCTCCCTAAACCAAACAGAACCCTACAGTCCCATCATTCAGTGGCAATGAAGATTCATACGAGGGTCAGATTTTAAACTTGGGAGGTTTCCTAAGTGTAGTTCTGCAGAGCTTCTGCATAAAGCTGTGATAGTCTAGGCTAAAAGCCACTATTTATCCTTAACACTGTTTTAACTGCATGAACCTCTTAAAATGGTAAAACAAATGACCACGCACATGCCTCCAGTAACGTTATAAATTTATATTGTAATAATAATCTTAAACCTACAGCTCCAGGGATGCTTTCGTGCTACACATTTATTAGACCAGTAAGGTTAAGATTTCACATGAGCTGAGCATTTCCACAACAGAAGTAGATTCAGTTTGTATAAATTCTCAAATTGCCTCAAAAGTACACACAATCTAACATGAATGTATCTAGTCAAAACCCAAAATGCTTGTTAAAGAGAGACCCCATTTCTACAAAGACTTCTGATTTATATTTTCAGTTTATGTCCCAAATATAGTTCATGAAAGAGATTTAATCTTGTACCTTGCTATCTACTCTCTTACTCAGTTTGAAGGATTTTAACGTATTTCAGACTAGAAAGACTCTGTGTACATGTACACAGCAAATGCAAGAAACTGCATTGTTAAATACAATCGAATATTGAGAGATTCATTACAAAGAAGAGGGAAAAGCTCAGCTTACAAAAGAAATGTTAATTCAACCTCATACATAGCCTGTAAACCCAATGTTATATATTTGATAACATGAAAGAAAGTATTGAAGCTTGTATACACCTTTCACAAGAAATACCGCTATACCCACACAAGGTGCCTAGATTATTACAAGACCTACATTTCTTACATTTTGTGACACTGGAAGGTTTGAATGATGCAAGCCAAATCTGTCAGAGCACCTCACTGGTGGGGAAATCACCGATTGCAGTGACTGGGGAGAGAGATGAACAGCTGGCAGAACCATGAGCACAAATGCAGTCATTACATATGCACACAGGAAAAAAATCTTTATAATTGGCCCCCATAACTTAACCATACTGTAGCTCACTTATTAAGAAAAAAAAGATCACCTCTGGATTTTCCTCCTTTTTCTTTTTGGTAGCAGGGGGTCCCTGAGCTGACTCTTCAGGAGGTTTCTTTGTCTCCACTTTACTTTCTGTCTGGGTTTGGACTTGAGGCTGAATAATGATAACCTAAAAGACAATGTACAAATAAAAGAAGAGAATTTACTATATGAAACTGGATTTTTCTGCCTGAAACCTTTGATTCTTCTTTGACGGGTTACTTGATACCCCTACAGACAAGTCACAAGCCAAAAATATAAAAAACTGGATACCTAAGTTAGGCTTCTAAATCCATACTTAAGTTTCTAAAAATTGATTTTTATTGGTACATTATAAACCTACTGCAGCCTAAGGGAGCCACTTGGTCAGTGCCTCCCAAAATTAGGATGCTTTCTATTTAGAGGACTTCCGAAGCTGACTCAGCAGCCTAGCTTTAGCACTCATGTTGTCAGTGATTTTTAAGGTCTTTCCTTTGATTTTTTTTTTTTTTTTTTTTTTTTTTTTTTTTTTTTTTTTTTTTTTTTTTTTTTTTTTTTTTTTTTCATACAGGTGGAAGAGATAGGATTACTACACTTTCAAAACCAGTCTGATCTCAGTCATACCAGCATCACTCAGAGTAAGTACATGTGGATAGGAAGGAAGATACTCCTCAATACTACTCATGTAACTGAGATCAGAGTTCAGTCCTCAGCATTTGCGTGTTATGAGCAGTGGATGTTCAGTTTTGCATAAAAAAAATAAACTATATGTGTTTTAAATAAAAATTAATTCTGGTTTAGAACCCACAGGAACTACCACACCGACCTCTTATACATGCATGTATGTTAGTATAATCAGCTGCTCATGTTTGAATTACCACGTGAAGATTTACACCGTGCAGATAACATTACCTCAAAAGCTATTAAATTAAAAGGAATGAAGGACAATTCCTGGCCACAGAACTACACATGACACTTTATACCCATAATCAAAGCTTCATGAAGGACTATGGAAGACCTTCCCAAGCTCACCTTCTTGATGAAGGTTATTGGATTTGAATGCTGGGCCTTTTCCATCTATTTCATTGCTAGCTTTCAAGCAATGTTATTTAACTGTTAGATACTTCTTCTCAACTCAGTCACTCTAGGAGATTCAAGAGCATAAAAAGGGACAGTTTTCCTAACCAGCAGCCACTTTAAGTAAGAGAGAAATAAATTATGTTAGAGAAATGGGGAAGAGATGCCTGCTTTTATTTACCTCAAAAGCCATCCTACAACCTCTACTCTTTTTTAGCACTGTACAAGAACCTGTGCTGCCAACAAGACCCAAAGTAGCAGGATCCCAGTAGCAAATTACAGCAAATGTCTGCTGGGTACATTGGCAGCCTTTATGGAATCTGTTTCTGGTATAATAGTGGTGAAGTTCTTGCATTTCAAAGCTGAAAAGCAGTACAAAGAGGAAACAAGTAATTAATAACTTGATTTTTTTTTTTTTCCTACCGATTCATCTGCTGATCAGTTTTGAAACCCTGAGCTCTCATTTCATTTGGTCTTCCCTTGGAAGTGTAGAAAGGAATGCCTGATTATTTGATACACTCCCCTGGGGTCAGTCGATATAACTACTATCACTGTATAATTGAAGAGGGAGTCCATAGGAAATCTGAGCCTGCACAGAATTCAGGGATACTCTTAGTGAGGATTGGTTTAAGGAAATGGAATATCATACAGTCCCATTAATGTCAGGCTACATAATGATGCATTTTGTTCCCACGAAAAAATATGCTTGTAAGCAGATAAATGTCTACTGGCGTCCACGTGTCCCCTTAAGATTTTTCCCATTGCTTTCTGATTATTTTCTTCAAAAGAAACCACTGACACCACTCTGCACAGGGCTGTGCACTACCGGGGGAATATTCTGCTTACACCTGCAACGTAATCCCTGCGTTTGATAACCAAAAAACAATGCCGTGAAAAACAGTACCTACCTTGCTGTCGGCACTAATGAGGAGTGGTTGCACTTTAATGCTATCGTTGACCACAGAGACAGTCGCGCTGGTGCTGATAGGAGTTGCATTGTTGGGCGAGGTGGAAATGATGGCGTACGCCACACCTGCACTGCTCAGAGGTGATGAAATAGCTGTAGACTCGGTGACACTTTGGGACTGGCTGTTAGGCGTCTGTACATGGCTGACGGTGTTATTGGCAGTCGGGAGGGCAGGGCTGGGGTTTTTGATGCTGACTACGGTTGCCTTCTGGAAGGTAGGAGGCTGCTTGGAAGGTTGGTCTCTGCACGGGGAGATAGGGAGGCTGTCTGGAATCAGGGTCTTTGGCCTAACCTACAAGCAGAGAGTTAGATGTTATTAGGCACAGCCTCACACTGTAACAAACACTGCATGCATGCGCTCTCCCGGTAGAATCTCTAATTGCATTAACCATGGAACGGGAGCATCTAGAAAAACAAAATGTAGCAACTCAAAGTAGCCAGCCATTCATTTACTTGCAGATATATTCCCAGTGCTCCTCGGTTGGGCCATTCTGGAGTCCTTAACTCATTGCAATGCTGAACAAGAAGGGAGGAAAAAGTCCTCACTTTTATTAGCACACATCCATACGAATGCTACTCGAGTCACACCCAGTTCTCAGTAGGGATGCTTAAGCCAAAGCCTTTGCAAAGAATGGAAAGCCCAGACGCAATAATTTCATGTTCTGAAGGACACAACACTCTTGCTATGAATTAAGGAGCGGGAACTGAATCATTAAGGGAGTTGTGGGAAAGCACTTACAGGAACATTAAGTGTATGTGTTTATACTGGTGGATCAGTGAGTGAAGATCCTCACATTTTTAAGATGTGCCATGTCTAATGGAGAGGAGATCAATCATGCAATTACTCAGCTCACCAAAAAAAAGAAGAGGAGAGGGGAAGAAAAGAAACCCACAACCATCGAACTTCATATTTTGTTGCTGTAAGCAAAGAGCTAGTTTGCAGCTGCGGGTGGACGCAGAAGGAACTTCCATGGATGGAGGGGGAAACCGTTTGCCAAGATTTGCGAAGGCTGTGGCTTTACCCAGAGCTATGAATGATAGCTGCGAACAATTGTTTCCGGCTAATGCGATGTGTTTCCAGTGGGGTAATTAACGTCACCCTGTCAACGTGGCTTTGCCTTAACAACACGTTAAGTACAGTTCCAGGATGGAAAATAAATAATTTAAACTGCTTCACATGAAGTTAACTTCACTCCCAGCTTATTCGTTAACATGGCCAGATAAAACAGTTGGTTCCCTCTGTGCTTATTTAGTCCTGTCACTTCTCGCACCTCCCATACTGTGAAGCAAAATGACAAGTTGTAACAGACAGACATGGGAAACAGCTGCCTGTGTCACCGCGCTGTGGTCTACAGGAGGCCTTCCAAAGACACTGACTCCAATCTCGAGCCTAAGCAAGCAATTTCATGAAAACGCGGGGATTTGCTGAGGTGCAGAAAATCACCTCTCAAGGCTGGCCATCATCCTCTATCACGTCAAGGAGGAGCCGTGCCCATTCGTGCCCGCAGTGAATATTAGGCGCAGCAACACGCGTGTCGTGAGCTCTTTGTGTTTTGATAACTCTTTGTGTTTTGATAATTTGGCCCTCGATGGCCGATAGGATCCTAACCCCTATGAGCAGTGCAAATGTGTGTTAGAGGCACGGTCCTGCTTGGGAGCACCTAAATTGTCAGCAACCAAGGTAGAAGGACAGTGAGAGAGGAAACAGAGCTGAGGAAGAGGGAAGAGGAGGGTCTGCCCGAGGTCCTGCAGCAGACTTGTGACAAAGCCAGGGGAGCAGCCGTGTTTGGCTCGCGGCTTCAGGGTAACGCTGGAAGGCCTCGTAGACTCACTGTGAAATGATGCTAAACTATGACTAACTGTATTCGAGATACACTGACCGTAACTGAAGGGGGTTTTGCTCTTTTTCCTCTATCCCCTCACTTTATGAAATGGTTATTTGATTTATTTAGTTAAGATACCAGACAAATACCCTGGCCAAGTTGTTTAAGCGAGGAGTCTATAATTAGCTTCATATCCGTAATTAGTTAATGGTCTTATTTTCCAAAGTAGTGCACAGAGGATTGATTTAAACCCATCTGGGCCCAGGCATTCTGCAAAACTAAGGCTTCTAAAGTAAACAGCAGCTCAGGGCAACAGGAGACGAGATGCTTAAAGCAACTTGTTCACGTCTGTATCAGAGTCAGTTATACAAGCAGATCTTACAATATCTGCTCTTATATTTTCATAATAATATCCTTTCCCTCTTATGTTATATCTTATATAAGTCTCTCATATGTAAGTCTTCAACAAATTGCTCATGCTCATGTGCTCAGAGACACGTTCACAGAAATAGTATCATTATTCAGAAAAGAAAGTCTGAGAAGCTTGGCAAAATACAGTTAAAATGTATTACCATGGGTAAAAAATTCCAAATTTCATTCTTAGCTGTTTGGCTAAGTTTTACCATCTCTCTTTAAAACAAAATAATTTTCTTGTAAATGAATCTAACATATGTTACCAACAGAAATACTGTAAACACACAGATAAGCACATCTATACAGAGAAAGAGAGAGAGAATAGGGAGTAGTTCAGATCAAAGATTCAACAGAGCAGTCACTGAGATCTTTAGAAAAAAACAAGTCTGACAAAAAATCAGCTCAGGAGTTTTTCTAGCCAGGAACTGTCATGTTGTCTACCAGGATCTACTGTATCTGTCACTCTTAATTGCACTTTTATATTTAATCAAAAGCCTAATTAAAACTAAATGCCTATATATATTCCAGCTACATAATTATCTTTTCTACACTATTACATATATATATTGACTGTCAGATGTAATACCTCGATGAATCCTATGCACACCCTTAACACACACTCTGCAAGTTGTGGATGAATGCATATTACTTTGCTATAAAATAAGCTCTTCCTGCACAGACAATTAAACAGACTTAATTTTCGAAAGTAACATATTCCCTATAAAGTGCTGCATACCGAAATATCTGATATGACTTACCAAACCGGTACAGCAGAAGAACATATGCCGGGCGTTTTCTGCCACCGTGTGATATAAAGGAGGTATAGCGGTCTTCATAGCCTAAGCCTCTGCAAATCCCCTGGCAAGTTCAGCTAGTGTAGTGAGAGTGTGTTTATTTGCGATTATAGAATAATAAAAAGGGTTGACTGCAGAAAAAGTTTCAAGTGCTCCTGAGTCACAGCTAAAGTGAGTTAAAGCTAAAATAATGTTTATTTCTACAGCCTGGAGGCATGAACCCAGAACAGAAAGCAAGGATAGAAGCCCCTTGTGCTCTAACACCTATGAACCTTCTCCCCTTGACTATAAACACTAAGCGTAAGCACTTAATAAACAGCAAGGTGAAAGACCTTTAGCAGAGTTTCACGTTAAAAACCAAACCGCCACAGTAATCTGTGAGAATAAATGATGTCAGCTGGGAAGAAAAAAAAAAAATGAAGGAAAGAGCCAGCATAAATTCCTTTTCCTCACAGCAAAACTGCAGCTTAAATTTGGGAGATGAAAGGAGGCCAGTGGCACTAGCAGGAGTTTGGAAGTTGACAGTCACCAAAGAAGAACTAGAGAAAAACTAGGGCAGGGCACAGACTGCTTTTCATGTGCAAGGTACAAAAAAGGACATTTTCTACCCAGAGTAGCACAGGTTGGATGGCACCGGTCCCCATTACAAGAGCCACGAAATAAAAGGCACAAAGTTTAGCAAAGGAGAAGAAAAGAGAAAGGATAACAGACAGCATGTATGTTACCCACTGAAAACTGCGACTGTTGGCGAGCGCTGCAAATAACAATTCTCCTGTAGCTCAACCCTCCTCTCCCCAAATATCTTTCATTTAACTTCTGACAGCTGTCAAAACAGAATGTGATACTACCAGGGCTCTAAATGCAGGAGAAGAGCGAGCTGCTTCTTGAATATAACGATTTCACAAACCCGTGTTGTTCATGAGTTTCCTCAATACCGACAATAACAGACACATTTGATTTTAGGCGGCAATATTCAGACACCCCTGGTACTTCTCAAATAGCCTGCAGGTGAGCACGCTGTTCGAGAAGATATCCCCAGACCTAAGAATTCACGGGGTGGGGGCTGTCTGCTGTTCAGACAGGGAAATAACAGGGAGCCCAATCCTGTGAGAGGTGCAGAGTGCCCTTTTGTACAGCAACCTCCAATGTCACATATTTTAAAGAGTTTCAGATCAGGCGGGAATCAGCTCCTGTGACTAATATGACTTCTTGTATATCCTATATCATTAAGCTCCATCCAGATGTCCCTACATGAAGCCCACAGGCTTCCATTACACCGAAACATCGTTCCAGCTCTCAAGAGCACAAATTGTTGAATGCCACAGAGGTGAACGCACGGGCGGAGGTGGGAGAGCCTGATGTGTGTCACCACTGACAAAGGCAACTGTGATCATGGGTAATCTATTTCCCCGAGCTACATCCCATCAGGTGAGCTGCTCCCATGCTGTAGTAAAGAAAAAGAAGGTAAAAAAGAAAAATACTTACAAAATAAGCCCTCAAGATCCAACCCAAACAAGTATGGGGGGAAAAGGAGGAGAAGGGAAGGAAAGCACACAATTCCTCCCAGCTCTGCGGGCAATCCTATGTAGTCCTAAAGGACAGGATTTAATTAGAACAGTTATCTCTGTGCAGATCTGCAGGTGCTATGAGAATTGTTAAGGGCAATTCTGGTAAATGTGTTCTCCTTACAGCCTAGTGAAGAAGGGAAGTTAACAAGTGCACTTCAATTACAAACCCAAAAGGGATCACCATGATCCTTCAGCTCACAGACTGGCCATAGGATTTCTCCTAGAAACTGAAGATTCATTTTAAAAGAAAATACTACAGACTTCTTAATGATGAATTCATCACAAGCCCCAGTAAACGGTTATAGTATTTTATTATGCTCAAGACTGGCATTTTATTGCAAGGCTGAATTTGCCTAACTTCAGCTTCCAGTCCCTGGATCTTGTTATAGCTTTGTCAGCAGCCCTGAAGAGCCCTCCCCCCCCTCCCCAATATCAGATATCAGCTGGATCGTGCTCAGCATCAATCAGCCCTTCACACTGGCAGGGCCGATCTGTATGAGAGTAAATTTTTCAGCTCAACACAATATCACATTGCCTTTAAGAGAAAGACCATTATTCACACTTTATTTTCACTTCACCCTTGTACTCAGAGCTTAAAAACAAAAACTCAAAATGGATTTGGCACAATTCATATGTCACAGAGGCAAAGTGCTGGGAGCAGCAGACAGAGCTTTCATTCTTGAAAAGCTTTAG